TTCTAAGTTCTTTTATTTTCATATATATTTTTAAAATTAGCTTGACAGTTTCTACAAAAATAAAGCATTAATTGAAATTGTGTTCAACTCATAAATCAGTTTTGTTATAACCAACATCTTAGTGATGTTGGGTTTTCTAATCCATGAACATGTTCTGTTTATTCACTTAGGTCTACAAGTGATTTGTAGATTCATTGGGATTTTTGTAAATAGGAACAGTTTTAGTTTTCCCTTTCTGATTGGTATGCCTTGTATTTCTGTTTCTTGCCTTACCGCAATGGCTAAGACTTCAATTATAATGTTAACTAGAAGGGGTGGATATGAGCATTCTTGCCTTAATGATTTTAGGGATATTTTTTTGGCCCTTAATTATGATATTAACTATGTATGCTTTTTTTAATGTCAGATTGATGAATACCTTCCTATTTCCAGTTTCCTAAAAATTTTAATGTGAATATGTGTTGAATTCTATCAGCTGCTTTTTCTGTATCTACTGGAATTATATGAAGTTTCCCTTTTGTTATTTTAATAGAGTAAATTACATTTTTTTAAATGTTCAACCAGCCTTGAATCTCTGTGATAAGGTGTATTTAGTAATAATGTATTATATATTTTTTAATATATTGTTAGATTCTATTTGCTAATATTTTGCAAAGGATTTTTACACCTATGTTGTATAAAATTTTGGGTTTATAGCCCCAGAAAGTGAGTTTGTCAGTATTTCTTCCTTTTGTTTTTTAAAATGTATAAGGTGGGTATTATTTTTTTCCTGAAGTTTAATAGAGTTCACCAATAAAACTATTTTAGGTATTTTGTCATTGTTGAAATTTTTTTTATAACAAATTCAATTTCTTAATTGATATAGATATATTCAATTTCTCTGTTTTGTTTTTTGTCATTCTTAGAATGGTATTTTTCAAGGTATTTGTCCTTTTTACCTAAATTGTCAAATTTATTGACATTAAAAATTTCCCTTTTTAGTATTTGTAAGATCTGAATTGATAATCCCTTTTTTTATTTCTGATATTAGTAATTAGAGTCTCTCCTTTTGAACTGTGTTTTCATATCTAAAATGTATCTCTTATTGGAAGTGTTTTATGGTGGTTTTGCTTTTTAATCCACTGTGACAACCTCTGACTTGTAATTAAAGTGTTTATATCATTACCACTTAATGTAATTTTTTTATATGCTTGGATTTTGTCATCCATTTAACTTTTTTCTTCTTGTTTCCTTTGCTTTTATTGTTTTTATGTTCCCCCTTTCCTTTCCTAAATTTTTTAAGTTATTAGAATATTTTTTAGCATTCTATTTTACTTTATATATTGCTATATCTCATTGCCATTCTATCTATATCTTATTGCAATTTTTTAAATGGTTGTTTGGCAGACAACAATGTGTATCCTTAATCTTTCTCAGATTACTTAAAATTAGTTTGTATCATTTAATGTAACATTAGAAAACTTGCAATCATATCGATCTCTTTAATACTTACAATGACAATGTATATAAATATAAAATATTACAACTGCAAACATTGAAAACATCACTAAACAATGTTTTAGTTTTTATTTTAAACAGTCATAGGTATTTTATGGAAATTGAGAAAAAATAGATATTTACCATTTCCAGGGCTTTTCAGTTTTTCCTGAAGATCCAAATTTTTCTCGGGAAACATTTCTTTTAGCCTAAAGAAATGTATTAAGTATTTCTTATAGTGAAGGTTTGCTGGTGATATATTTTGTTGGCTTTTCTTTATCTTAAAATTTCTTGGGCTTCCCTGGTGGCGCCGTGGTTGAGAGTCTGCCTGCCGATGCAGGGAACACGGGTTCGTGCCCCGGTCTGGGAAGATCCCACATGCCGCAGAGCGACTAGGCCCGTGGGCCATGGCCGCTGAGCCTGCGCGTCTGGAGCCTGTGCTCCACAACGGGAAAGGCCACAACAGTGAGAGGCCCACGTACCACCAAAAAAAAAAAATTTTCTTTGTTTCACCTTCATTTCTAAAGATATTTTTCACTTGGCATAGAATTTTGCATTGACAACTTTTTTTTTTAATTTCAGTACTTTAAATATATTATTCCACTGTCTCTAGTTTCCCTGGTTTCTACTGAGAAATTTCTGATTATATGCACTATGATTCCACTGTATGTACTGCATCTTTTCTTCTTCTGACTACTTTCAAGTTTTTCTCCTTACCTTTGGTGTTTTGCAGTTTGAACTTTAATATGAATAGGCAGTTTTTCTTTGAATTTTCCTTTTCGGGGAATTTTCTGACCTTCTTGAATATATAAATTTAAAACATTCACATAACCTGGGAAGTGTTTGGCCATATTAAATTTAAACACTTTTTCCTGCCCTGTTTTCTCTTTCTTCTTTTCTCCTGAAATGGAACTGGTACGTAGAGCTACCCTCCCCTGCTGTTCGTGGTGGGTGGAAGAGACAAATGAGGCAAATGTCTTTTGTTGCATAATTTGGCCTAGGGTGGGTTTTGTCAGAGGGTATTATTTCATTCTGCATTGGTCAGATCTTTACATTTTTCCATGTACAAGTTCTGGAAATAAAGGAAAATTTTAAGAGAATTTAGGATAACAAGTGACGACTGAAAAAGGAAGAAAAAGAAGGTGCTACTTATAAGTTAGAAGCAGTGGGCTATTTGGCCTGGACAGGGAATAGTTCCTGAGGGAAATGAAGCAATACTGGCTGACCTAGAGGATGGGCTCCAGGTGTGTTCTCAGGCTACTCTGAAGATGGCAACTAAATGGTGTATTGGAAGGATTTTTTTCATGCTGTGTACATTTATCTCTGGATTAGATCATGAAAAGACCTTGTAAACAATAACAAAAATTTTTTTTACTAAGATTTGAAAAATAAGGTAGTTTTCCTCGGGTTTAGAATAGTTTATATGTGGTCCTTACAGAGGATGTAGGTGCTGACTCAATCTCTCAAGGTCCCTTTCAACCCACCATTCTATAATTCTATAATTAATTACTGAATGAGAAGATCATTTAATTAGTGTTACAGTTAAATCTGCGCTAGGAACACTTATATCCCTGGCATTCCTGAAAAAGCCATAGATGTGGTTTTCTTGAAAAGACCCTTTTGGGAAGTAGTTAGCGGTAGTGTTGCTGAGTTATCAAAGAATCATCTGCCTTTTGGCATCATTGATGGGCCATTTTGTTTATCATAGGACAATGCTTGATAGAAAATTAGTAATCATATACAATAGCATGGCAGGAGATCAACTGCTTTGCTTTTGGCAAGAACTAATGATTCCTTTTTGCAAGACCAGCATAATGCATGACTTTGCCTTTCATTTTTCACAAAATAAAAACATTTGCATACATTTTTGCAAGAGTCAGTCATAGTATTAAAGAAAAACTAAGAATCATCTAAAACAATAGCTTAGCATAAATAAAAAAGATTGGATGTAACACAGCACCACAAAAAATACTAGACCTGCCTCATTGCACTGAATTTCTGCAGGACATAACACTTTCATCAGAAAACAAAACAGTGGAAATAATAAATGGATACTATAAATTAAAACTGGTGCAATTACAAGGAGGCATCCCACAAATAATTCTTCTTTGTACAGTGTGTTCCAATTGTATTAAAAGATCTTTTTTGTTTTGCAAAACAAATTTTACTCTCCAGATTAAAGAAAATATTTTTTATGTACATGATTATAATGGGCTGTTGAATTAAGATTCTAAGTCTTCTGCAAAATAGAGAATCTGAATATTCCTAATACGACACAATCTAATACAATAAAGCTGAATTTCTCTTATCATATAAAGCTCTCTTTCTCTACATTCAAATGATTTCCCAGAGATGCACTTAAACCCAGACTCATTATAACATTTATATTATTCCTATTATTGTGGTTAGAAAGCATGGTTGTACTTCATGAAAGGGAAGGATGTAATAGCCATTGTTAAAAAGAAGTCAGAGGGGTGTGAAACAGCTGTTTTAGCTCTCCAAAGAAGAAAGTATAAGTTCATTTAATCTAAATACATTTGGATGCCTCTTGGCCGATACTTTTAACCCATGGTGATTTATTCTAATTTTCATGGATGACTAATATGGCACACCTTCCAATGATGAAAACTGACCTTTTCTGAAGTTCTCTGCTGAATTATTCATCCACAGGGGAATTTGCTTAAGGAGTGTTAGAAACTCTCTCTTGGGGAACAGAACCAAACTTTTACAATCAGTTAAAAAAAAGAGTAAATAAGCATATTGACATTTCATATTATCAATTTCTGCTTTCCAATCTAAATTTTCTATTGACTCTGTTGGAATGTGAATGCAAAAAAATATTTCATTTCTATTTACAAAGAAATTATTTGGCATGTGTGATGGGCAATTAAATGATGACTTCAGTTTTTCATCTATAAGTTGGAGTGTTGACTCATCTGGGCCAGCATTGTTATACAATCTTTAAAACAGATGATTATGTGGTACTGGGCCAGTAGCACTGTCACACACATATTTCTCGATCACCAGCTTCCATTGTGGCTGCTTCCCGTTCAGTCACCCTTTATTGGCTTAATAAAATTGTTAGGATTGTCATTGACTCAAAAAGAGAAACCAGGAAGAAAATAAAGAATAAAGACTAGTTTCAGCATGGACCTTTATTTTTTGCTAAATATTCCTCTCAAACCTAGCCTTCACCATAGACTTCTGCATGGTGGATAATTTGCCTGGTTCTAGTTTATATTCGAAAGAACTAGTTAAAATAATTCCAATTTTTGTTCTATATTTGGAACAATGAGGACTTAGTTACTTGGAAACCCACCATAAATTTCTGTGACCCATGCATGGTGACTTTTTTTTTTTAATAGAAAAAAAAGGTAAGAAAAGCAAATAAAAGTATTTGTAAAATCATTGTATAGGGTGTATTATGGGGAAAGTAAATATTCAGGCTGATCTTATCTACTTAACTTTTTTACAAATTTGGTTATGATGTAGCAGATCTGGACATCTATTGTTTCATTTTCCAGGTGACTTTCATGCCTACCTCGTCAGCAGGTCCCGGCATACGGCTGATAGTTGGAATGTGATGTCACAACTGGAAGAAGGTAAGGTGTCTGTACTTTCACTGCCTGTAACTCCAGAGTCAGCCTAAGAGGGGAATACATGCACTATGAGCCTTGGGAGAAATAAAATTTGCTTTTCTTTGGAAAATGTTGGGAAACTTGTCTTAAATTTTCTACATGGAGCTATAATAAAACGACGACCTTGAGATACTGTAAGATGGCTATTACATTTTTGCATTTCACAAGGGAATGTCCTTTTTCAAAGTAGAATATAAAGACTTTCAGAGGTTGTATTAGTTTGAGTTTCATCAAACGCAGATCCTGAAAGAAAGCTTCGGGAGTAAATACTTTGGAAGGTGATCGCAAAGCTGCTGTTTTGTGGTAGAGAAGTAAGGCAGGGATGGAATGGGGCCAATCAAATATATTTTAAAGAGCACATCATGGCCATGGGCAATGGGGGCTTAAGTGCAATGGGGACCCTCATAAAAACTGTGGAACACACCTCAGAACTCCCCTGTGGTAGGGTGAGGAACCTGGAAGGCTTGTCCACCAATTCCTGCCTCTCTTCGTTTGAGGGTTACTTCTGTGGTGCTAACATCTTATTTCTGGCCTCCCCCAGGTGTGAGCCAAGTGCATTCCTGTCACCAGCAAAATCATTCTGGGAAGTAGATGCATGGGGCCATGGTGTATAAAAGAGCTGTGTGCAGGTTAGCGCTGGCTTGGAGTGAAGGGATGTGGGTAGGGCACCAACAGGTGTGTATTGCTATCTATCAAGGAGAGAGAATACTTATGAAGTCATAATCCTATACATCCATTGTATAGATTAGGGCTCAATCAGGAAGACAGAACCACTGTGCATTATACGGAACATGGTACTGTTGGGGTGAGGACAAACGGGAACCTGTCACCACTTGCAATCTCTACAGCAAAGGTGACTCACAGAAGAAGCTGGTGCTCTTTGCCTAAGAGCAGCACCCAAGTCTGGCTCCAGACTAGAGAAGCTAAAGGAGGAGAGGAAGCGGCAGTACAGGTTGCTGTGGGCACAACTGCTGGATCCCACCAACGATGTGGCCAGAAGGTCAGCAACCATGTGCACACAGTGCAACCATGCCCAGTGCGCTGTATCAACCTTCAGAAGAAGGTGACTACTGCTTGTCTTCTGACTTCCAGATCTCACAAAAATCTCTCTTCTTACCCCAAACAATAAAGAGAAGAGATTTCTTAGCATTCCACCAAGTTCACAGGCTGCAAAGCCGTCACATCCGTGTTCTGTTAGTTAAATTCTATTTTCTGGGAAGGCCAAGGGAAGTGTACACATACATTCATAAAATCTAGGGGACGAAGAAATTTGACAGTTCCTGATTTTTTCTTAGCTCTAAAATTTAGAAGCTTTTAGAAGTTTAGAGATACTTGACTAAAGTAATCCTCTGAATTAATCTTTATTTTAACAAAGAACGTTATTTAATTTCTCATGGTGTTGGATAATCGAGGTTTTATTTGATTAGGTGTAGTGTGTGTGAAGGGAAAGGGGATGTCTATTTGTGTGGTTCATCAAGGCATGAACTTCACATTTCCTTCGAATTCCCCCCCTCAACACACCCTCAAAAAATCAGGTGCTCTCATTGTGTGAGCTTGAACTAGTCACCACAGAAAGTAACTGGAAGCGTTTCATGAACCACATTGGACCTTTAAGGGTATGTACTTGTTTATTTTCTAATTCTTTACTGTAACTGTACTTTTAATGATTTTTATAGGTTTAACATGACTTTAAGTGATGGTCTAAAGATGTTCTTGATTAAAAAACCTTTTTTTTTGGAATTTACCATCAGGATGTCAATGGACCCAGAGCAAATGCATGGTTTTCTTCTAACTCAGGCTGGAAAAACACTGTGGGATTCTTGTGCCCACAGGAAATCTATAGATGAGGCATAGTTATTTTGGATTCTTTAATATTAGATTTACAGAGGACCTGGGGGAGTAATGAAAGCAGCTGAAGGTAAGATGTAAATCACAGTGTAGAGGTGATGATACAGGGCTGACAGAGGACAGAGGGAAAGCTCAGGATAAAACTAGTGGTATATTGGAACTGGCTTGAACTTGCTTATACGAGCTGATCGTGGGCAACTTTCCCCAAATCTCAGTTTAGTGATACCACATTGGTAACTTGGAAACATCCACGGTGAAAGTATCTGTACTGTAGAATTTGGAAGACCCTGCAAACCAGGGCTTCCTCCACCTTTCGCCCCTACCAGCCTGAGAGCTGATTGTTAAACTTTTCCCAGCACATGACTGGGTAAGTATGAAGTCACCTAGTTGCTGTTCTTCTTTCATGTTTTGGACAGACCTTTCTATGCACAGGGTACTGAATGGTGGTTGATGAATGTGTGCTTTGGTCTATGATTTTATTTAACGGTTTGTAACTCTCATCCTGAGATTTGAATTCAGGCGGTCTGCAGACCTTTGTTTTGCACTACTATTCATTCCATATTTACTGCACACCCACCATGTGCCAGGTGCAGTGCTTGGTGCCAGGGATACCATAGTGATGACCGACATGGCTCTTGTCTTCATAGGGTTTACGTCTCCAGAGGTTCTCAGCCTTGTCACTCTTGACATTTTAGACTGGATGATTCTCTGTTGTGGGATTAAGCAGCATCCTGGCCTCTATCCACTAGATGTCAGTAGCAACTCCCCCCAGCTGTGAAAATCAAAAATGTCTCCATGTTGCCAAATGTCCCCTTTGGCACAAAATTTCCCTGGTTTGAGAACCCCTATGATAAACAACTGTAATGCAAGAGAAGCTAGTTCTGAGAGAAGCCGGCACTTGAATAGATATTTACAGTTGTCATCTCTGTTTTACAGGTGGACAAACTGAGGCGCTCAGAGTAAGAAGTCACTTGGGTAAAACACCTTTTTAAGTAGTCAAAGTAAGATTATAACTCTTGTCTTCTTGATTTTACAAATAATTCTGAAATTGGACAACCAGGAAAAAACTGGCTAGGTAGCTAGAAATGATGCAAACTTAGAAAAAATCGTTCATGGCCAAGAATAGCAACATTGGTCATAGCTTTTAGGAAAGGAATTTTAAATATTTATTAAAAATATGACTATTCATATTATGGTCAGAGACCATATGTGAGTAAATAAAGCGCAGTTTTTCTAGAACTAAAATTCTAAAAATGTAATGGCATAGGTGAAATTGAAAAGTGAGGGGGGAATTGTTGAAACCCCATGTGACTGTGTGACTCCTTAGGGCCTTCCAGATGAGCTCACGTTGGATGAGGACATGTCCAAGGCACGACGGGAGTTGATCCTGAATCGTGATGAATGACACGCAGTTATAAAAAGGATTTCTGGAAGTGATGCTCAGTAATTGGCGTATTTCACAGAATACTGTTTTGCTTTTATCTCATGCTAAAATAAATTTTGTATTAGTGTTTTGTACACATTTTTAAAAGAACATGTTACCTTTTGTCATAGAACTTTCTAAGTATTAGAGTTAAAATTAAATTTAAATTAAACATTGTTTTAATTAAAAAAAATTTTTTTTTCGGCCGCGCCACATGGCTTGCGGATCTTAATTCCCCGACCAGGGATAGAACCTGTGCCCCCTGCAGTGGAAGTATGGAGTCCTAACCACTTGTCGACTTAAAAAAAATGCACAATGTGAGGGTTGCGAGTTAAGTTTTATTTGGGGGCAAAATGAGGACTGCAGCCCAGGAGACAGCGTTTCAGATAGCTCTGAGGAACTGTTCGAAAGAGGTGGGGGGAAGGTCAGTATATAGGTGATTTTGGTGAAGGGGGAGTACATGCAATCGAGCACATATTTTCTTGCAGAAGATTTCTGCTAGTCACGAGGAGCAGTCGTCACCATGAAGGATTTTAGTGCTTTTCTAGATATGAGGAGATACAAGCATCTGGCTCATAAAATCGGCTCCTGAAAATATCTAACTATCTGAAGACCTGTTCTGCCAGTTTTTCCCAGAGCACAGAGTGTCTCATTTCTTCTCTCCACCCTGAACTCCTTTCAGAGGGTGTTGAAAATCAGCAGCTGCAGCAGCACATGATTTAATCCTTGTAGAGGTAGATGGCATGCGCCAGTGACAAGTGCCAATTTTTAGTTGACACACTGGACCGCCAGGGAATAAACTGAGGCTTGCAAAAAAAAAAAAAAATGCCAAAGACAACAAAAAGACTCTTTAAAGCTATGTTTGGAGTAAGAGAAACAGGGAGGCCCTCTGCCTGGAGCAAATGGTATGATGCTAACAGATGACAGAGGGAAAGCACAGCCCTTCAGCTTTATTTCTGCTCAGCCTGTTCAAGGAAAATCGTGTTCCGATGGGGAAGATATTTGAGAACAAATATTTTGAAAGAAATCAAAGCCTGAGAAATTGAAGAAGTCATAAAACACCTGTTTTAAATGTATTAAAATTCAGTTTCATCTTTGTTCATTCATTCATCAAATGTTAACTAACATTCATACACTGGGCTGAGCAAGGGAGAAATGGTCATTCTCAGTTCCTGAATTTTAGTGGAAGTACGCAAATGAAATTCACTGGGATACCTTGTACATCTGGTGTTCCATGTACCATGTTAGGGCACGTATAGAATTCAATGGGGGCCAAACCTGGTGTGAAGAAGGGAGGATGTTAGGTCATGGTTTTCTCAGAGTCCTTCCCCCCACCGCCTGCCCCAGCAAATGAGAAGGATTTAACAAGGTGGAAAAGTGACAGGTAGGGATGGAAAAGGATGCTGCTGATATGGATAATGTATGCTCATGGGCCAAAAATTATATTATGGGCTCCTGAGGGAACCTGCCCATGTGACCACACAACCACTCCCAGCAAGTTTTAAGAAACCATGGTGAATGGAATATTACTCAGCCATAAAAAGAAATGAAGTTGAGTTATTTGTAGTTAGGTGGATGGACCTAGAGTTTGCCATACAGAGTGAAGTAAGTCAGAAAGAGAAAAACAAATACTGTATGCTAACACATATATATGGAATAAAAAAAAATGGTCATGAAGAACCTAGGGGCAAGACGGGAATAAAGACACAGACCTACTAGAGAATGGACTTGAGGACACGGGGATGTGGAAGGGTAAGCTGGGATGAAGTGAGAGAGTGGCATGGACATATATACACTACCAAACGTAAAATAGATAGCTAGTGGGAAGCAGCAGCATAGGGAGGTCAGCTCGGTGCTTTGTGACCACCTAGAGGGGTGGGATAGGGAGGGTGGGAGGGAGGGGGATGCAAAAGGGAGGAGATAGGGGAACATATGTATATATATAGCTGATTCACTTTGTTATAAAGCAGAAACTAACACACCATTGTAAAGCAATTATACTTCAAAAAGATGTTAAAAAAATAAAAATTAAAAAATTAAGAAAAGAAACCATGGTGACAGTAAGTGGTTCTGGAAGACTGGAGATGATTAAAAACTTGATTTTCAAAAATAGGGTCACATAGAAGAACTGATCCTCTTGTTCAAATCTTAACGGTTTGACTCATACATTTAATACTCTTTGTACCAGACACTTACAAAGTAAAAGAGAGGCCTGTTTCACACGTGGTTTTGTTCATGAAGACGGAAGAGGTCCCGGTGATGCCTCTCTTCCTCCTCCCACGTCTGGCTCTAGGTGGGATATTTCTAGGTTCAGATAGTTTGTCTCTCTGGCTAGAATCACCTTATGGCGTTTACTGATTCTGGTGGGAAATGCTTGGAGGATTGTGATCTGGGCGATCAGAGCCACCATCTATGGTCATGCAGGGTGTGCACAACCCCACAGGGTACCAGTCAGGGGGCCCCACAGGTGGAATGATTAGGTGCAGAGACAGTCTGCTGGTAGAGCAATTTAAATTGATGTTTATGAATGTATTTCTAGTGAAGGAATGCAGGACTGTTTGGTTCTGTCTCAGCAGCACTATTTTAGCATTGAAATGCGGTGACCAAAATTACGGATGATAAATAACCAGGAGAGATAGATTGTAAGTTGAATCAAAGAGTCAAAATTAAACGACTGCCGGTTTTGCAATGAAAGACCAGAGCATGGAATGTGAAACTATCACAGATTAAATATAAGGCTCTGAATTTTGTTTGAAAAATCAATTTTATGAGTAGAGGTTTGAGGAGACGAAACGATTTATGTAAAAGAAGGCTTGTAAAATTTAATTAATCATGAGCTCAATATAAACCAGTAATGCAATGTGGCTGCTGAGAAAACAAAGGTGATCTTTCTTTTCTCTTGAAAGTTTCCTTCCTTGATGCTTTGCAAATTACAAAACTAAGAAATGCTTGTTTTAAAAAGTGAAATCAAAATAAAATTCTAAAAGGCTGTAAAAAGGAAATGCTAATTCTCTCCTTCTTTCTAGTTCTTGGCCCCTTGCAACAAAAGATTATCCACCCAAAATGTCAACAGTGATGAGGTTAAGAAATCCCTGCATCATACTAACATATTCAGCGTATTTCTCTGCATACCATGAGTCCTGGAAATTACCACCAAGTAAATTTTTCCTGCCAGAGTTTCTCCTTCTATAAAATGGGGATAGTAATAGCACCCACCTCGAGAGTTGTTATGAAAATTAGGTTAAATAAAACATGTAAAGCATTTAGACTAGTGTGGAAGAAAATCTAGCAGAGCACTGGGAAAAGCCTTTTTTCAAAATGCCATGGCCAGAGAAGGCGCTGAAGGAATGTTCTACCTTGGGAGAGAAGGGTGGAATTTTTATAGAGCTGAGCAAAGAGAGGTCAGTAGAAGAAGTTCAGCTAGTTTGGGGACTAGGTGCTGAAAATGGGTCCTCAGGTGGAGAGGAGTTGCTTTTTTGGACTAGCCACTGTTGGCTGGGCAATTCGGGTTTTATCAAGAGGAAGAGGGAGGGAGAGCTGTGGAGCTAAGGTCACCAGAGGGCAGGATGGAAGTTAGTTAGTCCTTTAGGGTCTCTTATATTGGCAGGTAGAACGTGCTCAAAACTGTTGTAGATGTTATTCTGATCTCCCCTCGTTCTGGGCAGACTCTCTGTAAAGCGTCTCACCTCTGGGAGCCATTGGGAAATGAGGCAGAAGTTCTCCCTGCTCTTGGGATTCACAACGGACCTAGAGGTTGGACTGCAACCCTCCAAGGAGGAAGTGGCTCCCCTTGGGCACCCTGGATCCCTGGAAATAAACAAAGACCACCTAAATGAGAAAAGCAAAGGCTATCAATTCAGAGCTTGCTATGCAATGGAGTCAGCCACCGTTACTTGAATTTTGGCGGAGACCCAATGACAGGCAGAGGGGTGGGAAGGTTGGCATGTGCCCTGATGGAGGCTGTGGGCACCAGGATGCTGGAGGCGGCTGGCTAGGGGCAGGAGGTCCATGGGATGGGTTAGTGGTGGGCACGTGGCTTTCGGTAGTTGGTCCTAAGTTGGAAATGGAGACAGAAATTAGGGAAGCTCTCAGTTATCAGTCAAGTCCTGGCTATTTGGAGCCAATAGTTACAGGTGTTTTTGTTTGGCTTCCTGGATTGTTACTAAAGATGGTTACATGGTTTCCTGCAAGTCTGCCTTATAGCCGACTGGCTTCTTGGGTGATGTATTGTAGATAAGGGGTTGGTTTCCTGGGCAGGTAGCTGCAGGTTGTGGGTCAGAGTTCTGTTTTTATATAGGGTCCAGACTTCATCCATTTGTCTTCAGATTCAGCCTCTTACTTTGCTTTCCTCTCATTATCTTTTCCTTTCTAAGTTCGAGTTGTTTTTGCTGGTCTGGGGACAGGAAAAACAAAACAAAACAAAACTGTCTTTAATTGATCATGTATTCATTCAGGTTTATTGTTTCTAACATAAATTTTATGATATAAAGGGCTAAAGAGTGTGATGCTCAGATTCTTGAGACTTGACTCTTAACATTCAAAAGCTAAGAATTGCATCTTTTGGATTCTTATTCTGTCTTCCCAGAGACAATGACAAGGAATCGGGAAAGGGCAACCTGTGAAAGGATATTAAAAAACTAAAAGCCCATAATAAACACATATGACATAAGACTTACTATATCTGCATTATGTAATAGCAAGTTGTTCTCCATAGAACTTCCAAACAAACCTAGAATGATTGAAAGGATTGTTGAAGAACAAACTTTTAGAGCCAGGATATTGGATAAGAGTCTAGAATGAAATATGGTGGTAAGAGGGGTTAGAGAAGACTGACTTTTTAAAAAATGCTATACATTAATTGCTGACTTAGTTTATTGAACTTAGTTTTCTATCTTCTTTCTAGGCATACTTGTTGGTATGTAGAGGTCAGTTTTCTTATAGCCTGTGGTATTTGTTATAGATCTTTGAGTGCATACATTGATGAAGGCTACTGCCTGTGCCCTAAACTTGAAAGGCAGCTCAAGCGAGTCCCTTGAATGTTGGCACATGCGCCCTCTGTAATTTCTCATCGGGGTGATTAGTCTAAAGTTATTTTCTACTTGCAATTCTCACAGGTCACTGGCATTTTCATTTTATCATCAGGTTCACTTTCTGTAATGCAAGTGCCGGAGCATGGTTATAGCATATTTCCTCGATTGTTCTAAGATTATTACTGAATAAAATACAGATTACCAGGTAAATGATAGTCCCAATAAGTTGGAACTTTACTCATGTTTATCCCATTTGATTTTAAATTAAGCAATATTTCTTAAAATATTTGTAAGCTAACTTTTGCTTAAAGTTATTTAGAAAATTATATATAAAAACAATTATATATAAAAATTATATATAAAAACAATCTAAAAAATTGTTTTTAATTATTATTTTTTGGCCACGCTGTGCGGCATGCAGGATCTTAGTTCCCTGACCAGGCATGGAACCTGCACCCCCTGCAGTGGAAGTGCAGAGTCTTAACCATTGGACCGCCAGGGAAGTCCCTATAAGCTAACTTTTGGATGGTGCAAATGATGACATTTGAAGGTAAGGATGTCAATATTATAGAACTACATGATAAAAATAAACCACAGGGAGTAGATTTTCAAATATCCCTATCTTGCCAGCACTAATGAGAGATTTTTGCAATAAATACATTTTGCATATGACATTTAAAGCAGTTGATTAAAGGAAAAGAAAGATTGAAAGTGATCAGGAGCAGAGATAAGATTTGTATTTGGTATCTTCTCTCTTTTCTCTTTATGATTGCATTAGTGAGCTACTGATGGACGGTGGCTCATGGAGCCTTGGTTGTAACCTGCTGGGGTGCTTACAGGTAAAAGATTGCTGAATTCCGTTTCCTTGGTCCTAATGTCTCTTCTTGTAAAGCTTGGGGTATAGGAGAGGTGTTTTTTATTGTTTTGTATGAGTGCAGCTGCTTTCAGAAGACTTATAATTTGACTAAAGGGGGTATCTGTGAAAAAGGTGTGGTCAGGTATGTCCTGCTGCACTGAATACTAATATACCTTCGGTAGAGGCACATTATGCTTTTATTTCTGACTGTACTTTGAATTATTTACACCTTCAAGGCAGCTGATTGAACTGTAGCATCAGTCAATTAGCAAATCAAAAATTTATATGATTCCAATTTAGCATGGAGTCCTTCTCTCTCTCCTTTTTTCTTTTTAGATTTTCACCCTGACAGTGACAAATTACTCCTCTGCTGGCTGAGATTGGAAATTAAAAGCATTTAGAGTTGCTCATGCATTTATGCTAATGAGAACTTTTGATATGATTTGCATGCAAAAGAGGACAATCTGAAAGCTCGTCAGTTTTTCATGCTTCCGCATTTTGATGTAGCAGAATCTTGTTCTGTTTTTCCGCGGAGCAAAATTTTTTCTCCAGGAAACAATACCGAGTGTGAACAAAAAGAGTTCTTTTAAGTCAGAAAGTTCTTCGTTTTTTTACCCTCCAGATTCTTGTCAAATCGTTTGCTTGCTCCTTCAGAGCTGCAGCCCACGTTCATTAGCATTTTAGATGTTTATCAAAGGAAGAATCCAGTATCTGCCACACAAGATTATAGCTCAGCTTCATTTTCAATTCAACAAGGAAAAAAAGAAGACCTGAGGACAGACAGGAAGTGGGACATGCACCCTGACAATCTTTTTCTTACATCCACCCGAATTAATCCCATTTAGAGAAAATTTGATTAATCATCAAAGGTGGCAGTTTTACCTTTCAGAGATGGCACTGACAAGTTTTAGGCAGAGTCTTAGTATAAAAGTCTTACCCTGATATTTGTATAAAAGAGAGCAACATTAAAAATGAATCCAGAAAACTGGGGGGAAGAAATGAATGGGGAAGAAATGTACTATCCAAAATTTTTGAAATGGATTTTATTGCATCCATAAATATGCATCCATTAAACCATTAAGATGACAAAGGGGGAGTTGAAAGGATGGGATATTCTTTTTAATTTTTATTTTTCTTAGAAATGAGTCCCTCTCTTGGGATTCTTTTAATTTGGTGAAAGTTATGGGCCATCTTATCAGAATGTAATTAATGCTGTGGAAATTTTATCTTGCCAAAATAAATATGCTTTGTTGTTGCTTTCAACAGTTATCATTTTATTTACATTTAATGCAGTGCAGAAATATTTTGCACCAACTATGTGGACGGTAACGTGTGTTACCCCATAAATATACTGTCCACTCAAACAGAGACATCAGGAGGTCTCTTCGGCTTTAAATGCCTAGGAACTTCTTATTTACCTAAGATGTTTCAAGGATGATTGGTACCAGAGTTTAATGACGGAAACGTGGCTGTCTATCTGCCTGCTTGCATCTGGTGCCCTTAAGCTGCTCTAACATAGAAAAACATGTGCAGGTCTACCTGAGGGCATTGCCTGGTCTTTGGAATCCATTCAGATCACTTTCTATTTTATCTATTAGGCTTGTACAATTCCCTGCTGTCACCCCCACCCCAATACCTCTTTCAGGATCCTTGGACTTCTGTTCTACATTCTGACTTGACTGAAAATGTGTATTTTCAGAAATCCAGTGTCCCTGGATTTCTCCAAGCATAATGGACACCTAAGCCAGGCATTTCATTTTGGGTACCGTCTAATATTGACTGGCTAGCACTTTAACATCAAGTGAGAGACTCCTAGCTCTGGATTCTCCAGACTTTTCTTGCTATAACTGATTGACTGGCTGGGTCAACTCATAGTTTAGCTGGCCTACTTACCTACCATGAAAGGGGATCAAACCCAATGTGGTCGTTGTCTGTTTTGAGTTAGGGAGTGCTATGGATGGAATTGTGTCCCCCCCAAATTCCTATGTTGAACCTTTAAGCTTCTATGTGAGTATATTTGGAGATAGGGCCTATAAGGAGGTAATTAAGTTTAAATGAGGTCATAAGGATGGGGCCCTGGTCCAAAAGGATTAGTATACTTACAAGAAGAGACACCAGAGCACTTGCACTCTTAGTTCTCTTTCCTTTCTTTCTCTGTCTTTCCCTCCCTCCCCCTCCCTCTTCCTCCCCCCCACCCCACCTCCTTCTTCCCCAACCCCACCAAATGAGGGCATAGCCAGAAGGTGGCTGTCTGCAAGCCAGGAAGAGGGCTCTCACTAGGAAGCAAATCAGCTGGTACCTTGATCTTAGACTTCCCAGCCTCCAGAACTGTAAGAAAATAAGTATCTGTTGTTTAAGCCATTCAGTCTATGACATTTTGTTATAAAAGCAGACTAACAGTACAGGGAGAAGAGATAAGAAATATATTATTTCTAGACTTGGAACTTAATCATTTGTTGTGATTTATCTTATGCTTCCTGAGCATGGTCTAACATGACTGATCTTATGAAATAAACTTTCGATGTATTATCTTCTGTGACAATTTAATTAATCTATCATCTTTGTATGAAATTATATAAATGAATATTCAATGACAGAAAAGTCTGTTCACTGTGGGTAGAGGTATGTGCAATATAAAAGTAATCATTGAGTAGAATTTTGGCAGTAAGATTACTTCTAGAATCTATCACATATCTATAAACCCTCCCACCTATTCAGCACATACGGAGGGAAAACTTTTCCACACAGATATAATAGGCTTATTTGTCATCCGGTAGAGAGTTACATAATCTTAAGCTCAAGAGTTGTAGGTCTTCATTCAATGGCTAAAAGGCAAGAACAAGCCAGAATCAGCTATTATTACATGAAGGCTGTAGACTCTAAAGCTTGAGTTTCGAGAAGTCATATTAAAAAAAGACTGAGAATTCTCTATAGTCAGAATGTCAGCCCAACTATAAAAATTATATTGAAATTTTCCTGGTAGAATTCCTGATTTCCTTTTTTTTTAAGGCTGTATGTACAAGGGAAACCATTGACATCTTTTTATTTACACAAGGTGAATTGTTTTTATTGCAAACTTTCTAAGAAAAACAAAATGATATTTTGGTGCTAACTTCTTGGTCTTGCTGATTCATTTATCTTTTGATGTCTAGAGAAATATTAATGGCAAAACACTGTGAAGCTGCAATACTGCTGGAATGGGATGGGCAACAGCTAAAAACGGAGGAGTGGTGGGGATGTCTGGGCAGCCCTGTGGCTGAACAACACTCCTGTCCTGTCATAAGGTAAGGAGTCCCAAATTATTTATCCCACTTGGCTTTGCCCTTGGCTGTCAGGAACTATCTTTTTACTACATTTCTAGTATAATTATTTCCTCTTCTGTCTTATAAGTTTTTTTTGTATTCTTTTGCTTTTATTATATATTTGTTTTTCATTACCAATGATCTCCAATTCTTTCAAGGGGTGTCAATAAATCTAACACTCACTAACATTTATTAAAATTATACTAAGTGTTTACGTGTTAAATGTTGACGTGTGTTACAGTTCTATGAGGAAGATAATAGTTCACAGTTGGGGGGATGTAGACTTAGAAAGGATACATGGCTTGCCCAAGGCTCAGAGTTTCTGTAAGTGGCTGAGCCAGGACTAACATCCGGGTTCATCTGTCACCGAAGTTGGCAGTGCTGTTAGTGGCAGAGGATTGCTACCTGGAACTTCCTCAGATATTATCTCCTGAAGTATCCATTGAAAATACTCAACTTCAAAAAGAGATAAACAACCTATCTCTTTGGAAAGAGGTCAACTTGCTGGATTCTATCAGCTGCATGGAAATGCGCAGAGCAGTGTTTTACTCCCACACACTGAGTTACAGTTATTTGGCTGTTCCTTTTAAGTTATTATTACAAAGAAAAGGTTCAAATTAATGATGCAGATCATGTTCCTTGACCCTTTCTTTATCAGCATAGATTTCCATCCCGAGTTAAGACAATCCTCTAGCACCTGCACTAATGTTAATTCGTGGAACATGCCTCTTGCATAGCAAAAGCCCCATCCATTTTCCATTCTAATGGATCCTCCTACAATATAACAGCATAAGCTCATATTTACCCCAAGCCATTGTCTGTGTCCAGCTGATCATTCATTTACTGAAGGCTTTTGAATGTGCTTATGCAAGAGAAGGCAGGCAGACAATACTCTCTATTTCTTTAGAACACGTGCTTTTGTGGGCACAATTCTTACTTTGATAAATTACAATGATGGTTTTGCCAGATGGAATATGGACTCCCCAAGGAAATGTGAGGACTGCTGAGGACTCTGCAAAGGCAGCAAAACTTGTTCTACTTGGAACTGGAGGTGATAGTCAAAAGTCAAATAGAGGTTGTACCAACAACCATTTACACTTATAAAGCCCCCTTTACAAAGGAGTCCCAAGACACAGTGCATTTAGACTTTTTAAAATGTCAGTGGTTAAGGACAACAGAGAGCAGCAGCAAACATAACCTTTAGTGTAGCCCTAAATGCTGACAGGGAGGAAGAGGTTGTGTTCTTTTTATAGGAAGCGCATTACACTCTCTGCATTGTCTTAAACCCACCATTGTTCCACATGTGAAACTTCCATCAGATGCCAATGAGTTTTGTGCTGCTGTGTGATGGCGGGATGTGATCCTAACTCCGAACTTGCAAGCATTTGGCTACATAAAATAAAAGTACTATAAGGCAGGTCTACTTTTTAGGGACTAAGAATTATGGCTGGTCACTCACTGTTCTTTTAAAACAAGATACAGTATAGGTATTTTACGTTCATACTAGAGCAATCTTTCTAATACTTAAGCATGCATTTCTATTTTGATTCTTTGTCAAACAAATTGTTGCGCTTTTTTATTCCAAGCGAATGATACTAATAATTAACAATGCCCATGTGGATGTCAAGGAGCTTTCCTGTACTGTATATGTATAAAAATTTGCCTTTTTTAGACACAATAGTACAGTACATTGAAGATCAGTGTAGTTACATTCTAAAATTTCAGATACATAACCTACTTTATGGTTTCTTTAGGAAAAAGCTGCCGTTTTCTAAACAATGCAGCCCACAAAATTTATTAAATAAAATCTATAGTTTTTTTTTTTAATCTATAGTTTTCTATCACATTTTTATTCAGCTGACTGGTTCTACTAAGTCACTGTAGGATACAAATATTTTCTGTCTGTACTTTTCTAATCTCCCAAAGGATGAGATGAGGAAATAGTTGGCAAATCAAGCAGGGATCAGCAAGCAGTTTAAGTAAGTTTTCATTGCTTCATATTATCAATTCCTTCACAAATATTACTCCCCCCACCCCTTTCTGATAGGTGAATGAAAAAATCAGATACTTTTGGGATGAATTTATCAACTGTCATAATTTATCTTATAGGGTTTCCTTTGATTTATCATTATAATTCATTTTTTAGCTTTTAGTGAAAGTGGATGAATTTTATCTGTAAATATAAATGAGAACTAATTGACAATAGTTTCTAAATTACTCCAAATCCATCATGAACCTGACTCTTGAAACATGAACATTCTTTTCATGGATTACGGATCTTAAAATTTTATCATAAAATACATAAATTTTAGCGATGGGGAAGGTATGCTATATTCTATATCTCAAGTATGGACTTTTGTGGGTGAGGATCTAAAATAGTAGAAATTCACATTTTATCTTTTTCTCTCAGTTGGCTGGGGGACTCTGCTTTAGGCTTGCAAGTCTACAAGTTGGCTAGGGAAGTGTCATGCTATAAGTCTGATTTGGATATTCTTTACCTTGAAGCTCAGGCAGAAAGAATGTTGGCTACCTGATGTATGTTCTCACAGAAATGGCAGAAGCCCAATAGAGAAACCCATATGTATAATCGCATTCCAGGCCTCTGTTTCTGTCATGTCATTAACTTTTCATTTACCAAAACAAGTCAAATGGCTAAGCCCAAAGTCATGGGGTAGAAAAGTATATACTGCCTTTCATGAGAACATTGCAAATGTGTGGATATATCATACTAGTACAAGGGAGTGACAGTTGTGGGCACTTGATCTATTTCTGCTTAAACCAGCTATAGTGGATTTTGTTATCTACAAGTAGTAATATCGCAACAGTATTATTACCATTATTTTATACAGGAATATGCTGTGGTAGAGAGAGAATCAGTAACTCGCCTAAGGTCACATGGCTAATAAATGGCAGAGCTAGAATTCAAACCGTGTAGTCCGGATACAGAGTCCTGAATAACCTCCTGTAAGGATATGGCACCTTGACAGAACAGTTTCTGTCATGAGTATTACATAAAAACAAAAGATAGTAATAAAGATAATAAAACTTCTCCATCTTCACCATAACTAGGAGATGGAATATCATATTATGTTATATTTTACTATATTATGCTGTAATAGACAATATTAAAATGCACAAGTTTACCAAAAGTAATCAAAATTAGTACAGAAATTACAGGAGCGAAGTGCTTCTGAAATCATGTTGGAAGAAGTAAAATTGAGATGATCCAATGATGGCAGACTTCAAGAAAAATCAGGAAAAATATATTTCCTATAAGTGAGAGGAAGCATCACTCTCAAGTGATAAGCCAATATCACTTGCATACAACAAAATCTGCACAACCTGCAGAGAATCACAAGGAAATGGAGCAGAAGGTACATGGGGGAGAAAGCTCAGAGAATAATGAGGTGGCAGGTCTAAGAAAATTAGCATTAAACTGGGTCTAGATTTATAAAAAGATGTCATAGCGTTGATTCACAGATACCTGAGGGAAGTAGGTGGGAAAGGACAGCACAACTTTCCCCTAAGGAACACCCACTACAAAAGGTTGCTGTGGTCAGATTAAAGGACTAAGATTTTGCCATTTAACAAAAAACCTTTAAAAGGGGGCTAAAAAATGAAGAAACACTGTAAAGCAGAAACACAATAACTCAAAGATGGTGAGAAAATAGGGAGAGTTGAAACATGACCTGGCAGAACTTAGGAAAAATGCAATAGAATAAAAATTACTGGTAGAAATACAGACAAGAAATAGTGAGAAACCCAAAAGAGCACATACAGGGTAGTAGGTACAGACAGAGACCTAAAGGCTCGCCCAAGAATAGTGGTCAAAATACAATGGAAAATTATAAAAAAAGATTAGGGATAATACTCAAAATGTAGTTTAAGTCAAAGGAGGTGCAACATATACACAACTGGAGTCTGAAAAAGAAAAACAAGAACAATGGAGTGGAACAAATATTTAAAGATATAATTAAAACAGATTTAAAAAAATACAAGTCTCCCTCTATAGATATTTAAAGACACACTGCATGCCAAAGGAAAGAACACCAGACTAATCAATACTGAGATGTAGCCTAACAAAGTTTTGATCTTTAAAAGAGAGGAAAGAAACCTCTGTACAACCAGATTATAGGGGAAGGTATTACCCTGGTTTCAAATTTGTCTACAGTAACATTTGATGCTAGACATGAGAAAAAGTACAAAATCATAAAAATATATTGTCTCAGTAATTAGTAGAAAGTAGAAAGAGGAATAAAATAGAATGTCTAGAAATAGACACCAAATACATAGTGAATGTAGGAAATAAGACAAAATGGCATCACAAACCAATGGGCACAAATAGTTTCTTCAACATAAGATGTTGTGACCTCTGAGTGGTCACCTGAAAAAAATAAAATTGAATCTATACTTTATATTTTTCACTAGGATAAATTTTAAATAAACTAAAAAATAAAACCATAAAAGTTATAGAAGAAAACATGGAATAAGTCCTTGAAAATCAAGTGAAAAAGTCTTTCTAACCATAACTCATAATTCAGAAGCTATAACAGAAAAGATTGATAAAGTTGCATAAAAATAAAAGATGTTGTGCATGGTTAAAAAGGAATATAAAGAGAGCCAAAAGACCAATGACCAACAGGAAAAATATTTTTTCAACTTATATAATAGACAAAGAGCATATATAAAAGCGTCTCATTAGTCAACAGAAAAAACGAAAATATATAGAAGACAGTTTAGAAAAAAACCTTATCAACATATGACAAAAAGTCAGTCTCAACCCTAGTAAGGAAATGCAAATCAAACTACATTAAAATGTTCTTTTTTTCCCCTATTGGAAAAAATATCTAAGTTTGATAACCTACTACTGAGACTAAGGAATCTGACATTCATTGCTGATGAAAGTACTGATTCATAATACTGCAGAGGGCATTCATACCACCTTAAAATATTTACAATTTTATCCTTTTTTCTTCTTTAGA